AAAAAAGAAAAACGGCAGGGGGAAAAATGTATAACAGCACCATACAAAATGGGGAGGAAAGAGAAAAAGAAAAGAAAAATACTATTTCTGTGATTCACTGTGGCCTGTGGAGAGGTTCTATTGGAAGAACGGAAGTGCAAAAGGAGGCAGCGTTGTGTACTTCGCTACTCTGAATCCCACAGTGTCCTGAAACGGGGCATAATATTAGAAGAGGCACGTGCGCGTAGACGTGCTGAATGTTTGCGTAATTATAGCAACAGTGAGATATCACCTCATTGTTTTTTTTGTTCCTTCGCTGTTTTTTTGTTCTTCACGCTTTGCCTCCGTCATGCTCTCTCCTTTTACACCTCAACCTCTCTTTTCTTTCCCCCTGGTTTCCCTCCACTCAACTATGCAGCATCCAAATATGGATGACAGATTCAAGAGCGGACGTTGCTGCTGCTGCTGCTGCTAATGGCCTGCCTTCTCATTAACCCTCATTTGTGGCTATATCGTTATTTTCTCTTTCGGAGTGCATGAGTTAAGACCTCCAGTCTGGATACATACAGATCCAGCCACATGTCATCTCTGGAGATACACACAGGATTCACCAGCCAGATCTGTTGCACTTTACATTTGCCTCTTTTGTCTCCACTCCACCTCATCGCAGAACTCTGTTTTCTTCTTTTTTTTTCTTTTGGCATCAATATATATTGGTATAAATATATATATATATATATCTCCTCCTCACTCCCGCACAGTTTTGGCTTCCCGCTCACCCCGCATGCCACCCTTCTCTACGGCAGAGTATTGTCGTCGTCATCGCGGTACCATTCCTCCTTCTCTGGGTCGTACCACATCTCGTTTGTAGGGTCGTAGAACTGCGAGCTAGGTGGATGAAAATACAAATTTTCCTTTTCTGAGTAGTAGTACGGTGTGCCCTCGGTCCGAACCCAGTCGCCCTTCGGCAGCACCACTGGGTTACCGTCCTCATCGAGTTCTTGTTGCGGGGTTGGAGCCGAAGTCCCGGTCCTGGCGTCAGCCGCAGCAGCGCCACCTGGTCCAGCAGCCTTCCTCGGTGGGCCGGCGCGCGAGGCTCCCTCGGTGATCTCGCCGTTGTTAACGCGACCAGCTGGGGTTGCCACATCATTCTTCTTATCAGCAGGCTGCTGTTGTTGCAACTGCGGGGAAGTGTTTGCAGCATTGCTCTTCGCATTTGCAGCGGTGGAAGCCGGCTTTGTTTCTTTGGTTTTCGAACTCTTGCACCCCATCTTTCTTATCGCGTAGTCCTCCTTCCCTTGTGTGGTAAGTGTAGTGCCTTCCGCTTGTTTGCTCTCTAATCACGTACTAAAGGACCAAATTTGAGTCGGAAGCGTTACGATTCGTTTCCCTACGATGTTTGCAGTACTCCCTCCCTATGGGCTCTTACTAAAAATGCTAGTATTTGTTTTTTTTTGTTTGTTGTTCTCCTCTTCCTTTGATATCTTTTCGCGTGGCCACGTCTCTTATCAGAGTTGAAAAATGTGTCGCTAGGCAAGAAGCTTCAGAAAGATGGCAACAACAACAGAGTGGGCAGACACACAGGCAACAGCTCAAAGGAGCACACACACATACACACACAGAGACAGACAAACAGAGCCGGACAGAGATCAGACATCTCATAACAAGAGGGCAAGTATAAATTGTTCGGTTTTTTTCTTGTTTTTGTGTGTTTTTTTTTCCTGTGGCGCCTTTCCTCGTCCATAAAGTCTTGTGCCCAAAACGCACACGAGAGCCTCTCGCAGCCGGAGTACGAGGCACACACACACACACAATCACAATCACAATCACTCAGAGAGTATAAGAGAGAATGGAAGGATTGACCATAGAGAAACAGGAGAATAAAAACCAATGGAAGCAACACGACGACGTGACTGATTCCTTCCTTCTCACCCATACCCTTCTTATCTACCACCGCCTCTTTCTGTAATACTTCAGTCTTACCGCGACGCTCATCGCCTCATTGCGGGGGGACGGCAGCAGCAAGAAGGCACTGATGCATTCCCGCCCGCAGAGGGTCTGCTCGCGAGAATTGCGCCGCCAATTCCTGCAGCAACCGGACTTTATCATTACCAGCGTCGTAATGATCGCCACTAGCGGCCAGGTCGCTGGTGCCCAGCGCCTCGCACACCTCGCGAATCAGTGCTGCTGCTGACCCGCCATCACAGTTGATGCCACTGCTGCTTGTGTTTTTAGCGTTAGTTTTGCCGAATAAAGAGAGTAGCGTAGTGAATAAGTAGAGGCGCGGCCAATATGCCTCGGCTTCCCCGCCCAGACGTTTCTCTTCCGCAACGAGCTCAATGCACGCTTCGACCAGCCGCCCGGTGACGTCGACGCGTGAGGTTGAGGGCGCTGGTGACATGCATTGCACCGTCCCCGCCGCCCTTGTAAGAAATTGCGCGTAGTACCACGCCGACTGATCCGCCGGGTCGCAGTAAACCGCGGTGATGACGAGCACCAGATCCTCCTCTAATCGCGTCCATGCCTCTTCCAGCGCGGCGACACGCACGGCATCATCGGCGGGGCGCTCTTCCAAGCGCTTAAGTGCCGTCTTGAGCACCAGTCCACGCTGGTGCCACGCACTGTAGTTGGAGAAATTGCGCCGCACCATCATAGTGGTGAAGCGCAACTCCCGCAACTCCTCAGAGGTGAATAGCGACGACGACAGCATAGGCTTTGAGTCTAAGTCGCCCGGTCGTTGTTGCTGCTGCCACTCGGCAGATGGCGTTTCTTCCTTTCCCACCGAATTGCTCCTCGACGGTGTTGCCTCCAGCTCCACACCGAACTGGGCTAAAAGTTGCTTCATTTGCGCAAGTTCGCGCAGAGCCCACCGGCGGTAATTCCACGCGTGAAAATTACGTTCGTCCCTCATGAGCAACGCATCACACTGCCGCTTCTCCTTCAGAAGTGCAGATTCCCAGAAGCGCACCACTTCTGGGCACGCCCCTCGCCCCACGCCGTTGGGTTTGTTGCTGCTGCTGACAGTGGTGGTGATGGTTGTGGACGAAGCGGTGAGAGCTTCTTCGGCGAGACGGCGCAGCTGTGTGAAGATCCACCGCCGGTGCACAAACGCTGCGTACACCTTATAATCGCTAAGAAGTATGGAGGAACTCAGAATCAGCTCGTCCTTGAGCCAGTCAAGCTCTGTCCGGACAGGGTGTTGCTCCTTTACTGTAGTTTCTGTGGAGTTGTCTGTCGTCGTTGTGGTGGTCGTTGCTGCTGCTGCTTCTGCCTGTTGCCGCGCCTCGCTCCAGATGTGCAGTAGTGCGCAGCGGCGGTAGTTGTACATAGTGTACGCCTCGGGGTTCTTGCGGAGAAGGTTTGTCAGTTGATGGAGCACCTTCTCGGTGTACACGCTTTGTTTCCGTTGCTCCAGAAGGGAGTCGTAGAGAGTGGTAAACTCCTGCACTTCCACTAGGTGCCGCTCGCGTGTCTTGGCATCGATCTCCTGCTTCACCTTGCGCTGGTCGTGCATTTCCGCACTGAATTCCGAGACTATCGCAACACGCACACACAAATTCCACTACTTTTCTTTTCTTCAAAGAAGAGTCTCATTAAGAGGTAGGCGGAGGATCATGAAACTAATAGGATTAAAATTCCCTGGTGAATGGCATGTCATCGACAGCATACTCTGAGGGTGTTGAGGTAGGTACGGGAAAAAGGGATAGACCAACATAAAGGAGAAAGGAGGACTAATATTTGAAGAGATGCTTCTTCTCACCGTTTTTTTTCCTTCAAGACGCGTGAACGAACATATCTATATATATATATATATATATATGTATATGAGAGAGAGAAAGAGGCATGTTCCCTTCACTGTCCCATCGAACAACTAGAAAGCCATCGCACCGACGTTGAGAACAAAATGGTTTCAGTACACGCATAAATGCCAAAAGAAGGAGGCACCGGCACGTCTACGCGCATGATCCGTTACTTCTCCTGTATTAGTGTCCGACGCAGTCAATGGCCATCGATGTGAAGGGCGATTGACTTGACTGGTACATAATAAAGCAAGAATCCACAACGATCACAAAACAATGCTGGAAGCCCACCACACCTGGCAATTGTGGCGAAACAATATGGAAGAAAGGGGTCTGGGCCAAGAGAGGCCGACGGGATTAGGTTCTTAAAGCATCACCGTTTCTGGGTGCAAGGATTCCCACCCTGAGTGAGGCGTGCTATCCCACTTTCACCTTATCCACAACTCCCTTTTTTTTTCTTTCCTATTCTTTTCTTCAGAGACGTACTGCTCATTCGTGTCAACTCGATAAAAATCATATATACATCTCCAGATTAACTACAACGGCCAGTCATTTGTTTAAAATTTTTTT